AGACTGGTTCATATAGAGGATCAGGACTACACTGAGACTGGTTCATAGTGATTTGTGGTGAATTGTCTCTCATGGTGATATTGTAGCAGACAGAATTACATCTGATGTGATACTAACATGTTTACACCTGGTGGTCTCTACAGGCTGCAGGAGTCTGAGTGCCGTCTGCTCCGCCCACAGCCATGTCAGACGTGAAGCCTCCTCCACCATGTGACTACTCCTCCGCCTCCTCCACCACCACCGCCGCCTCCGTCGGCTCTCCTGCCGGCTGCGCCTCCCCCCTCCGCCTCGTCATAGACATGGAGCCCTGCATCGCCGACCTCCCGTTGTCCCCTGACCCCCTGTCCTCCTTCCACCGACACAGACCCGGCCTCCCTCACTACCCGGGCCTCCAGGGGCCCCACTTCCCGCTCATTTCCAGGTGCAACAGCAGCACCCTGCTCACCAACCTGGGGCTGAGGTACTGCTCCAGCAGGCAGGGCCCTCTGGGTCCAGGTCCAGCCCCAGGCCCCTGCGGCTACGCAGGAAGCTACAGGCCCTATAGGAGCATGGAGAACCTGAACTGGAACACCGTGGCGGATCCTGGCCTGTGTGCGTTCGGCGCCGCCCCTTACAGGAGTACGGACAGCGAGTTTATTTTACGCTACACCTCCACCAGCCACTGGTATGACGGGCCCCCGGATGGATCTATGATGGGGGGCCCTGGACTGGTCCCCAACCAAGAGAGCCTGGTGTTTTACCCTCGACATGTGCTGCCCAGAAAGGACCTGCCGCTTTTCCCCCAGCTGCTGTTTCCGGGCGGCGTCGACGAATGGGATGCGAGGAAGGGCCTGAGGGAGAAGCTCCGCCTCCAGAGCGCAAGGTCGTCCGCGGAGCACCTGAAGCACCTGAAGCACCTCCCGCTGCGGCCTCTGTCGACCCCCCCAGCTGCCGCGTCCATGGACGACGTGAGTTCCACCGCCGCCGCGTCCAGGCCGCCGAGCTCCACGCGCATCACCAGCCACGAGGAGATCAAGCAGGAGGTCCTGAGGCGCCTGCAGCTTCGGCGGCAGAACAGCAGCCCCAACCTGGCTCTCCACTGCTCCCTGTCCAGCCCGGAGGTGGTGAAGACGTCCTACACAACGGACAACATCGCAGGGACCAGGAGGAGATCGGATTCTGCGTCCGAGCGCCGCAGACCTCCCGTGGGACGCCTCCACATCCCCACGTTCGAGGAGTTTAAAATGATGAGGCAGAAGGAGGGAGACCAGGAGTCCACAGCCGGTTCTGTGAGAGCTGGAAGATCTGAAGGAGCAGGAGCATCAGACGTTAAGAGTCCTCCTTCTGGTGGAGGATACAGAAAAAAGGACTCGGAGGAGGTGCAAGGAGAGCCGAGCAGCACCGCAGCTCCCACCTCCGTCACCACATACACTCCCATCTGCACGGGCCCGAGAAGGAGGAGCAGTCTGGAACCGGCCGGGTCAGTTCCCTTCCCGCCCAGCAGGGAGAACTGGAGTCGGCCCTCCAGCTGCTGCCCGGCGCTCCTCCTGGAGGGGACGGACCTGTCCAGCTACGGAGCCAAGATCTACAAGATGAAAGACGGCCTCATCGGGTCGGCTCTGGACCTCATCAAGAAGAGGTGAGTGTTAACAACGGGACGGTGGTTCAAATAAATATTCTGGATCCTTGTAGACCAGCTGCTATAATCAAACAACATTATAGATCATCAATGATCAATAATTAGTATCCTGCTCCTCCGTGTTCGTGGCTCTAATATTTATACTGCACGGAGGACCTGGACACGCCCTCTTGTTCGTCCTTGTTACTGAGCCAGAGAGACGGTGCCAGTCCTCCGTCTGTCTGCAGCCCTGTTAGCTCCGACAGCTGTTAGCACAATAACTGAGATAAATGGATATCACACACGCTCACACACACACACACACACACACAGATGGACTCGTTCACACACAGTGATACAATGGTCTGACATCACAGAGCTCACACACACACACACACACACACTAGGAAGTGTGCTTACACACACCTCTGCTGCTGGAGGCCTCACAGCAAGAGGGAACGGGGTTCCATTCCCGGGCTGCACGTCCTCTTCTGTGTGGAGTTTTGCATGTTCTCTCTGGGTTCTCCGTCTTCCTCCCACAATCCAAAGACATGCTACTAATCTGGAGACCTGTCCAGGTGAACCACAAACCTCAGAGGTTAATCCTCTGGAGATCATGAATGTCTCTTTACAATTTCATGGAAATCCAACCAATAGTTGTTCAGATGTTTCAATCCGTAGCAAAATGAGAAAAGCAGCAAATTCTCACATTTAAGAACCTCGAGTTTTTCATTTGACTCTTAATTGATCGTCAGTGAATGACTTGTCTCCCAATCGATGAGTCAAGCGATCACATCAGCGCTCCTGCAGCTCCACAGAGCCCTCTCACATGTCCAACGTTGTTTATCCCCAATGGATTCATCTTTTAGTTCCCACAATGCAACACGCTGTGCTTTAAATGTGGCTTCAGGCTCTGTGAATATATTTAAAGATTGTATTAATAAAACATGACTGTGTTCTGTGTGATGTCTGCAGCCCGAGGTGCTTGACTTCCACCCATGCGTCTCTTTGTTGAAGTGTTTTCATGCATAACTTGCTTACGGAGCGTTAATGCAGCTCTGCTTGTGTTAATATTCATGTTATTACACCTGCGAGGGTTTCTATAGAAAGGCAGCGCAGCAGTGAAGGTGCATGTGGAGGGACAGCTTCTATTTATTTGTCTCTATTAGATGCACACTCATAACTATGTTTCATTGGAGTGATATGCATCAGTGGAAGTGACAGGCGGGTTAATTTCGGTGTCACGCGGCGGCGTGTTGAGCGGTGATCGATCACGTTGGGAGGTTTCCTGGTGGATTAAAGCTGCAGGTTTTTACTTCCCATACATCACCACAGACGGACGCGCAGCGCTGTGGAGGAAAGGCCTTCAGTGACACTTTGTGTGGACGCTTCAACGGGTTATTTATTCCTCCCTAACTTCCAAAATGTCAAACTAGGATTCGTTAGTAATGGAAACAATCTGCAGTGACGCTATTTAAATTCCTACGAGGGACTCATTTGTTGATTCTGGCGCCCCCTGTGGACTAAAGTGGGCGTGTTTCAGAGCACCGGAGTCCCTTTAGAACCTCTCATTCTACTGACAGTCTGCAAACACCACTCAGTCAATCAATACAACGATTCACATTGTTGACGCTCTATTAGAGGCTTATTGAACCTGCTGATCCCACGAAGAACCACAAACACATTTCATTTGAGTTCAAACATAATAATCTTCTCAAGCTGCTGAAACAAGAGTTTTCTTGCCGTGATGTCATATTTTCACTCCGTTGTTGTTTTTGTTTGCTGGACCGTGAAGCTCCCCGGAGTTAGAAACTGAATCCATACACTGCACAGAGCTCGTGTGTTAATAATGTGTGGAAGAATTTAAAGCTGTGTGTGTTCTTCTGAAGCTGATTGGTTGTACCTGCAACCTGAGAGACACGCCCACATTAGTGACACTACTAGTGCTGTGTAGAATATAAACATATCAAATATATAAATGTGTTTCCTGTAAAAAAAGATTTTATTTGTTATTTATAGTCAGTGTTCTCATAAAAATAACATCAATTCAATATTTCATAAAAAATCAACTAAATTGACATTTTTACGTGATGTTATAATAATTATATTTTTTAATATATTTGTTTATTTGGAAAGCCTGATAACAAATGCATTTTAATACCGAGGCTAGATTAACACATATCAGATATGTATAAAGGTGTTTCTGTGTGTTTTGAACCCAAACCTTCATTCAACAGGCGTCCAGATTATTGATTATGCTGCTTTGTGTGCAACAACTTTAAAAAGCCTCCATGATGTCACACCAGTATTGCTGTTGTTGTTGTTGTTGTTGTTGCTGTTGTTGTTGTTGTTCGTCTTCTCCCAAAGGACCAGAAAACAAAATGATTCTTTAAGTTGGTTTGTTGGTGGAGCTTCAGCAGAGACATCGGACAGGAAATGAGGTCGTAGCTCATTGTGTTCATGAAGCTTCTGGTCTGTGACCTCATGAGGGAGAGTTTGAGCTGTTTGTCTCAGATCACCTGCTGCTGTGTGCTGCATGATTCCATGTGTGTGTGTGGGTGTGTGTAGGTCTGTGTGTGCGTGTGTAGGTGTGTGCATGTGTGTGTGCGTGTGTGTGTGTGCGTGTGTGTGCATGTGTAGGTGTGTGTATGTG